AGAGAGAGAGAGAGAGAGAGAGAGAGAGAGAGAGAGAGAGAGAGAGATCTGGGTCATTTGCCAAAAGGTAAATGCCAAATTTATTTAGTTTCCTCCAGGTTAAATACTCTTTTCCCCAGAGGAGCAAACTCCCTCCCAGCCAGGTGTGAGAAGACAGCTCAACCAGCCTGGTGCCCCTGAGGAATTCCTCCGCAGGGAGGGGGTGCTAGCAAGAGCAAGGCGACAGACAGTTAGGATAGGTTTAGGCACCGTGGGAACCCTTCTTTCTAGGTGGGAAATTACCATATCAAAGATAAAACGAGGCACAAGACTAAACCACTGGGCTGGTAGAATGTAGCACAGGAGCTGGCAGGAAGCTTGGTTGGTAGGCGAAAAACAGTCCTAGCATCTTGCGTTTTAGTGCCTCAGGGAACAGGGGAAAAGACAGGGATCCGACAGAATAAATGCTGAAATTATATTATAATCTCAAAATAAAAAATTAAGAATGATTTAAACCCTTTTTAAGTTGCTCTTGATCATGAGGATTTAATCACAGCAGGTGGACTCTAAGACTGCATGGCTTTCTGAATTCATGAACATGGCCACTGGGAAGTTCAGGCTACTTGGAGCTACCTCAGAAGCCTGGCACAGTGGCTCAAAGGTCCTCATTCTCAGATTCCTTTTATGTTCCAATCTCATGCAAAATTAGACAATTTCCTTGGAATGCCTTAGCTTTCTTCCATTCTCCAAATTTAGATGTAAGCTTTGGGGTCGTCAAACTGAGAATTTCCAAGAACTACACAAGTAATTTCTAGAGGCACATATTCCTTTTGTTATTTTTCCTAACATCCCTCTGCTTGAGGTGTTCTAAGCTGCCCCCCTCCCCGCCAAATACTTCTATTTTACAAAATACTTCTATTTACGGTCCCCTTCTGAAACCTTGTGAATAGAATACAACCTAGGGGCACCTAAGAAGAGTGTCTCAATGAGGGAGTGTCTACATTAGTTGTGCCCATGGGCATATCCCTGGAGGAACTGTCTTACTGACTTGAAGGGAAAGTCCTTCAATTAATACATCCCACTTAGGACAGCACTCTTTCATAGGCAGGGTGTCTAAGTGTAAAAACTGAGATGAGCACAAACAAGCATTTGAGGATGCATGCATTGATTTTTTTTTTTTTTTGCTCTTTAGAGTGGATGTCTTATGCGTAGCTGACTCAAAGTTCCTGTCTTGATAACTCCATAGTGGTGAACTTTAAGGCGGAATTAAAAGTTTAAACAGCTTGTGCTCTCCTCCAAGTTGCTTACTGTCAAGGAATTTTATCATCAACTAACCTTTTTTTTAAAAAAATTATCTTATGTGTTTTGGATATTTCCTGTATAAATGTATCTGTATTAAGTTCACTTCTGGTGTTGACAGAAGATGGAAGATACCAGGGGATCTCCAAATGACTATGACCTGCCATATGTTTCTTGAAAAATGATCCCAGGCCCCCTGGAAGAACAGAGTAAGTACACTTAATCGCTGAGCCATCTCTCCAGCCCCTAGAAGCTAATCTTGCTGAGGCGCTCTTCTCAGTGTGAAGTACTTGGTAAAAGACAGAAAAGTAAAAAACAAAAAACCAAAAGAACCACACATAGTTTTATCAACTAGTTTTATCAAATCATATTACAGACTATTTCATTTGTAATAAAATTTAATTGTATTTACCTTTACAAATTGCCTAATATTTTATACTTTTCTTGACATGATAAATTTATAGTTACTAGATACATGTATATAACATACTTTTTAAAACTAACAGCACAAAGAAGTACGTATTAGCATATTGACATTGTTAATTGTTACTAAACTTTATCCTTGTTTTTTTTATTTAACAATTCACCAAATATGAACTGCGTGTTTTGGGGGAATATGTGCATTCTTGTAATATTCTGAATTCATAGATGTATATCTTCATCACTAAATATGCTTTTCATTTAATAAAAATAAAATCATGCCTTAATAGACATTTACCTCATGTTAGTAGCATCACTAACAATTGATATTTTTTGTTATCTACATATCCTTTGTCCTTTTTCTTCTTTTTTATTTCATGGATTACTTTTGTTAAATAGATATATTTGTATGCTTTGGAAGTTGGCTTGCTTCTATTACTATTTTCTTCCTTAATTTAATCCTTTTCTTTTCATTCATTGTCCCAAGGAGCATAATTAACATTTTTGTTTAAAATAAGTTAACTTGGATTAATAACTTATTTTCCTAAATATGTAAAGACTTTGCTCCTCCTTCTTTATGTCATAATTACATAAACCTAATAAATATAAGTTTCTTTTCAACAAAAGTGAATTTATAATTACTAACATGATACTACCTATGAAAATAAACAAGATTAAGACATAATTAAAATGAGTTTATATTATCATAATGAAACTATTAGTTTTCATGTTTTTAAATATTCATTGTATTGACTTAAATTTTCATTAAATATTTTATTTGAGACTGAATATAGTCATATAGGGTAAGGATAGAACAGATTTGATAGCAGCTAACTCTCCCAAATTTCCTTTATCTGGGAATGTCCTAAATTTTGCATCAAATATGAAAGTGATTTTATCTGGGTATAAAATTCTTGGTTTATAAGTTACAATTGAGGTTGTTATCTCATTGTCAATTCGTTTCAGCAGTCTTTGAGCAGTTAGCTAGTAATCTTTTTATAGTCCTTTATTGTCTTTTATAGTCCTTTATAGTCTTTATAGTCCTTAAATTACACATTATACATTCTGTTGCCTTTGTTAAGACTTTTCTTTGTTTTCTTTTTTTAAATTTTTCTAATATGTGTAATAAGTGTCGTTTTGTGACTTTGTACTTCAGTTTTACTATTGATAGGACAATATTGTAAAGTAAATATATACAGTTTTTTAAAAGTATTTTTCAAGTATTTTCTGCTTTTTCTCTTTGCCTTCTTTTTATCAAACTCTTACTATATGTATATATGTATATTATATGTATGTTATATATGCATGTATGTTGGTATGTTTGCCAGAGCACTGCACACATCTCAAGCACTGCACTTCGTTTCTACATTTCATTTGTTTCTATTCAAAGAATGTTTGACTTGTATTTATATTTTTTCAAGTTGAGAGATTGATTTTCTAATATTTTACCTCCAGTGAATTTCCAACTGACTTATTGTATTTTTACTGCAGAATTTCTGTTAAATATTTTCCTAATTTAAGTCACTATTCATTGCTATTATTTTTTTATATTTGATCAGATGTCACTGTGATATCTCTTCAATACTTTGGCAAGGTTTTATATCTTTAAACATTTACATATGTATTATAAGTAACACACACACACACACACATATATATATATGACACATATATGCATATATAAATGTATATGTGTAGAAATCTCAGCAATCTCTTTGGAACACTCTCTCTTGGTGGCATTTCTCCTTATTGTGCTTTCTTTTCTAGTTTTCTGGCTTATTTGTAGTTCTCATACATTGTATTTTATTGTGTTTTTTCATAAAACTATATATCTTGGACAATGTATCAATTCAGTGTATGATTTAGCAACTATCTAACATTTTTCTGTTATTTCTATTCCTCTGATTTAGTACCGTTGCTTATTGTTTGGAAGTCTCAATGACCTACTTTCGCAGCTTCCTTATTCCTCACAGTAAATAAGGACCTGGACATTCTTTTTGGTAGCTTTTGTTTCTTTATTTTGTTTCCATTTCTTTTATTTATATTTTTAGCTGAAATTTTAGGGTTTATCCATCACTCAGTATAGTTAGTTGTCTGTCAAGGATTGTTGAGATTTACTTAAATCCCTTGATATGCTTTCTTTAGAAACCATTTCCGTAGGATATGTGTGGGAAGGCTCACCTAAAATCTTACACATTTTACTGGTATATTGTACTTTCTGATTGTGTGTTATTTGATGTCTGTCACAGGTTTCTGTTCACCTTCCTTGGTCATGT